ATTAGAAGTTTTCGCCTGGTTAGCAGGTTTTCTTCTTTTTAGCGATAGTTTCTTTTAGATTTTTAGTTTAGTTTTTTTATATTCCTTAGTATTAGTATTCGTTTTCTTTGATGTATTTGTTTTTATTATTTATCTTTTTTTTGTTCCCTATTATTTCCCTTTTTTTTCTTTTTTCCTTCTCTACAAGAAAGTGTCATCAGTTTGGCGGCATTCTATTGTAAAGTAGGAATCTTGACAGGGCGAGCAACAGCCAGCCGGTGAATCTGGGGAAAATAAGTCCGAAGTGAGTTCCGGATCTCTGGAGGAGGCCAAGTGTTGCTAGGCAGATCGCATCTGGGCAAGACACAGTGGTTTAATGGTTCGCCCTGACCGCAAGTGGATGTTTCAGCATCTGCGAGGTACGCCGGGGGTGAGTTTACTCTTTGGTTGAAACACTTATAGATTTTAGATTTCTTCGTACACCGATGTAAGAATGATAGTCTGTTTCTATAATAAAGTAAACAGGATTGCTGAAGGAAAAAAAAATAAATATATCTAATATTTTAACTATATAAAAATATACAACCGCATTTTTGTACTCAACTCTTCCCAACGATCACTTGTACCAACCTAATACCGAAAGCAAGTTGAAGATTCAAGCCTAAAAGTCGACAACAACTTGAAGTTTTCTCGATATGAACTGTTATCAACGAAGTTTTTAAACGTGATACACCAAGGAGCGGGCATTTTGGATGGTTTGCAAAGGGGTCAAGCCTTGCTTCTCTGCTATTTCTGGGTAGACTCCTCTTTGCGTTTGGCATCCAAACCGGAGGAGTCTCTGAGAACAGCAAGTAGAAAAGAAAACTAAAGTTAGTTTGAAGATAGAAGACTTTGAAGAACTCTTGAAACAACACTCCTTGGTTGGAAAACTCGCAGAAACTCGATATTTCTTCACCATCTTTTGGCTTCAAAATTTTCGACAAAAAGTGGAGAATTCAGCTTACCCCTCCAAAAGATCGGCATTGTTTACCACTTCTATATCGGAAAACTAGATGATGACAAATCGGCACATGTTACGAAATGAATGAAATGATAACAACAAGTCACGTGGAGTTTTTAAAGTCCTTATACTTTCAGATGAAGATATAGATTTAATAGGGAAAAGTTAAGCAAAGTGTTTTGAGATATACAACATGTCTCTTGTATATAATTTTTAGCCTCTAGCACGAGTTATAGTGCATTTTGTTTTGTTTTATGGTTTTATTTTTGTCAAGACTCTCGCACTTAATAGTAGTTTGTTACTCTGTATAATTAGAAGTTTTCGCCTGGTTAGCAGGTTTTCTTCTTTTTAGCGATAGTTTCTTTTAGATTTTTAGTTTAGTTTTTTATATTCCTTAGTATTAGTATTCGTTTTCTTTGATGTATTTGTTTTTATTATTTACCTTTTTTTCGTTCCCTATTATTCCCCTTTTTTTTTCTTTTTTCCTTCTCTACGAGAAAGTGTCATCAGTTTGGCAGCATTCTATTGTAGAGCGGAAATCTTGACGGGGCGAGCAACAGCCAGCCGGTGAATCTGGGAGAAATAAGTCCGGAGTGAGTTCCGGATCTCTGGAGGAGGCCAAGTGTTGCTAGGCAGGTCGCATCTGGGCAAGACACAGCAGTTTAATGGTTCGCCCTGACCGCAAGTGGATGTTTCGGCATCTGTGAGGTACGCCGGGAGTGAGTTTACTCTTTGGTTGGAACACTTATAGATTTTAGATTTCTTCAAATGCCGATATAGGAATGAAAGTCTGTTCCCATAATAAAGTAAACAGGATTGCCGAAGGAAAAAAAAATATATATATATATAATTTATATATAAAAAATTGATTTACACTATTTATCAAATGACCGATCATATACATACATAACTCCAAAATATCTGATTTTGTATAGACATAATATAATAATAAAAAAAAAGTATACTCCAAAACAAATTAAACTTTAATTGCGTCATCTGTTGTTGTTCTGGCATAGTACAAAGTTGGACGAGCAGACAAAATTCTTAAAATTCATTAGGGTTAGTATCTAGAGAGGAGTAGTTTATACAGTAAAATTGCCCAACAAAAATTTTTTGTTAGAGCACAAAAGGTGGGTTCTTATGCTAATTTTTAAGATATAAGCGATTTTTTGATTATTTTAAATCTTTTCGGTGTAATTAATAATATATAATTTATCAAAAAAAAATAAACTTAAATTTGTCAGTCCGATACGCATATTGAACAAAGAATTCAAAAATCTTCAGTGTAATTAATAAACTTTTAATTTGTCAGTCTGATACACGTATCAGACAAGATACAAAAAAATAAACTTTCAGTGTAATTAATAATATATAATTTATCAAAAAAAAAAAACTTTAATTTGTCAGTCCGATATGCGTATTGAACAAAGAATTCAAAAATCTTCAGTATAATTAATAATAATAAAAACAAATAAATATTAATTTGTTTGTTCGATAGGTGTATTGAACAAAGAATACAAATAAATTTTCAATGATCTCGTTTTTTTTATAAGAAGCTTGTATAAAAATAATTAATATAAATAGGCAAAGGCATGGTTGTAAAAATTGTCAATATTGTCCCTTTTTTTATATCTTCACTTCAAATATCTTAGTCGCTTCTTTTTATATTTTGCTTTCAATCTTTTTGTCAATATCTTAGTTGCTTTTTTTTATATCTTCGTCATGACTTACAAAAAGGGTAAAGGAATTATTAAAAAACCTACCATTCCATTACAAACAAAAAACGTACACACAGTAAAGTGCCATGCTTCTGTAGTAAGTGTAATGGTAAAGAAAGAGATCCAAGAGTTAAGGCTGGACATGAAGCAGAAGAACAGAAGCCCTTAATTGTTAATCAAAAACGTATTATTTCACGATGGCAGATGGGCTATCGGCAGGGAGATATCTCTAACAGAGAAGGGTCCTCAAATACAATAAACAGCGGTTTTCCAATGGATCAGGATAATATTGATTTTACAGATAGTGAAATTTGTTTTTTTTCTTTTATGTTTCTTATTTTATCTCTTGTTTTTTTTTTATTCTAATTAATTTAATTTTTTTTTTCTCTTTTACCTTCTATAAAAGGTGGTTATTCAGATAGTGAGGAATATAATTTGGTTCCTTTACCACAGCTAAAAAATCTTCATTTTCTTGTTAGGAAGCTTCCTGAAGGCTTCTATAATGCAAAGACATCGGCTTTTTATCCTGGTGAAGATTTGTCTTTTTTTTCTGATGATGAACTTGAAAATGATGATACGAGGAGTAATAAAACTGATGAAACTGAAGAAAAGAGTGAAGAAGAAAATGTAATAAGCTTCAATGCATCTAATTTAGATAATAACCCTAAGACCACTTCTCAAACTGTTGATAAAAATGTACTGTAGATTGTATTATGGGTTTTTCATTACCAACAAAGGTTTCGGTATTCTAAAACAAGCATTGACTCTTTGATTAAGTATTTGCAGTATTTGCTAACTAACATAGATAAGGATAAATATCATAGCTTTCCTACTTCAATAGAAGTAGCAAATAATATGATTAGTATAACTAATAATGCAACAAAATTCGCTGTATGTGAATTTTGTTGCAAACTATATAACATAAAAGATGTATTAACAAAGAAAGCAGGACAAAATTCGAAAATACTTTGCTGTACTCATGTGGAATTACCAAACCATATTAATATCAGCAGAAGAGTATCATGCAACGTGATACTTTCAAAGAAAGTCAATATAAAAAATTTCATAGTCAAAAAGCCAATATCCATTTATCTTGTTATAGACTTTAAACAAACGTTCGCAAAGTTGTTCCAGAGATCAGGGTTTGAGGAGACATATAGAAGATGGGCCTATCAACCTTTCAAAACCCAATTGTCAAATATATATGATGGTAAGATATGGAAATCATTCTCTGATGATGAAGAGATTCCATTTTTCCATCCAGAAACAGCTGATAACAATATAGGATTGATGATAAATTTAGATTGGTTTCAACCATTCGAATCTTCTTAATATAGTGTGGGGGTTATATATGCTGTTATATATAATCTTCCTCGCCAAGAAAGGTTTCTATTCTGTTCTTTTCTTTTCTTTTTTTTTATATTAGTTTTTTTTTTTTTTACATTCGTTCTTTTTTTTTTTACATCAACTCTTTTTTTTTACATTTATTCTTTTTTTTTTTTTTTATTTATTATCATTATACGAAAGGTTTAAACCATCTAACATAATAACATTGGCTGTCATACCTGGACCTTCGGAACCAAAGCTGAATCAATTGAATCACTATCTAGCGCCAATTGTTAACCAGCTTATAAAACTTTGGGAAGAGATAGACTTATCGGCTACATTTGAGTCTCTATCTGGCAAGAGAATAAAATGTGCTGTAATTTGTTGTTCCAGTGATTTACCTGCAGCAAGAAAGCTTTGTGGGCATATTTCGGCTAAGGTCGCATATTATCGTTATTATAAAAGAGCCAATTATGACACCTGGAATCAACCTCATTTTGGTGGTATTTCCGATATAGATTCCTGGTTTGTAAAACGTAATCACAACCTTATCTGAACCGATGCTATGAAATAGAAAAATTGTAAGACAGCAGATTAAAGAAAACAGCTGTTTCCAATATTCTTGTCAGATGGTCAAAAATCTACATGCTTTCATACTTTAATTCTGTTAGATTTCTAGTGATGAACTCAATGTATTGCCTCTTTCTGGGTATAGCAAAATGGATCATAACTAAGTTATGAATTGAAAGTGACCGGCTAACTCCTCAAAAATTAGAAATTATGCAGTTGTTGGCCGACCAAATCGATGTACTATCCGATATTGGTAAAATCCTTCACAGAATTTCTACTGGAAGAGGCATATCAATGTCTAATAGCGATGATAAAAATTATTGAAGAAATATATAGTCCCGAAAAAATATTACCAAACATTCATCTAAGCCTATATATATGTGAATGTGCTTTAGACTTTGGACCTTTAAATTCTTTCTGATGCTTCAGTTTTGAGCGAATGAATAGATTACTAGGTAAGTAATATATATATGAAAATTAATAATTTAGCCGATACTCCTATATCCCACATATCTTAGAATTCGTCTAAACCAAATTGGTTATTACTAAATTTGTAAAGTAAAATCACGTAACACATATAAATTACCTACGATCCTAATCTTATATATAGATATAGATGGCAATAGAATTCAAAAAAGAAAATTTTAACAATGATTACTAATTATTTTCATTGTTAAAATTTCCTTTTTTGAATTCTATCATAAAAACATTTCAATGATTCAAATTTCCCTTTTTGCCTTACGATAGACCTATAATTCTAATATATATAATAAATATATATATTTATTTTTTTATAGAAAGCTACGAAAATAGTAATAGGAAAATTGAACCGGAATTCATGAACATAATCCAAAGAAATAGACACATTGATAGATTAATTAGTAACAGTAATGATACTTATTTACTTGAAAGTTTGTCTATTTTAGATCCAAAACCTTTGGTCGGAAGCTTAAGCATTTATGATATATCTAATAATGAAATAATAGATTTCATTTCTATATTAAGATCAATTGAAGAAGGAATCGATACTGGTACAGAGTCTGATTCATTTCCTGGAACCTTTCTTATAACAAAGAAAATGAACACCTATGTCTTCCATAAATTCGTGAAGCTACTTACTGAATACTATAATAATATATATAAAACTAATATATTCATTCATTCAGTAGATTTAGCATCAGATAGGTCGATAGCTGTATCGCCTATTATAAACCAATATGGAAGAATTCAAATAAGTGCTAAAGTTTTTGGTTCAACTTTTTCAAAGAGACATGAAAATTCTTTAAGAATTCTTGCAAAATTTTCAGATAGTAATAATGTGACTACATATCCAGACCAGGTTCAATTCTTTTTTAAGCATTCTATAGACTACCCAGAAGTGTCAATAAAGCATAATATCACATACATCCGTTGGTATAAAAAGGTAAAAGATGAAAAATTAAGATATCATCTTAATATTGGCAAAAATGATAATAAACTATGTAATGTGAAATTATGAAATAAGGAGTTTTATGATGTAGATCGTAATTGCATAATTCCTATACATAACATACTAGATAGATTTGTTGCTAGTACTTATATCATTGGTTTACAAAAGTCTTATAAATATATGTATGTAATTCCGTTAGATAGTTGTCTTCTTAATACAGCACAAGTAACAAAGCACACAGCTATAGAGCTCCATTGTGAGATTATAGCGGTGTGGAAGTGAAATGTTACTTCACTAAGGGCAGTTCGTGGAAAGTATATAGTTAAAGAAAGATATATTTTATTTACGGTATATAAGACTTTAATTACAAGAAAGTATCCTATAACCAAAGAGGGTTTCTGTATCTACTTGAGTCTATCTAAAGATGATTCGAACTAACTGGCAGGAAGGTAGAAAAGCCAGGGTTTATATATCTTTTTCAAACTATCTAAAACTAATAGAAATAATAAGAAACGGTAGAAACAGTAGAAATGGTAGAAACGGTAGAAACAGTAAAAATGATAGAAATGGTAAAAATGATAAGAACAGTAAGAATAGTAGAAATGATAAAAATGGTAAGAACAGTAAGAATGATAGAAACGGTTACCATTCTATCAGTTTTTAATGCTACGCGCAACTAACCAATAATATCTAAGATTACTCAATATACAATAATAAAATACAAGATAATAATATAATAATATAATATGAGAACTGTTAATGCCACCTTCACTTTTGAAGGTTTATTCTAGAAACAAATAGAGCAAAGTCTCTGGGCAAGAATATCAAGTAGATACTTGAAAACTAGACTATACAACTGTAAAACTTACAAGAAGAACCTCACATATTCTTGTTGACCCTCCATTTTTTTTTTCAGAGAAAATTTTGTAAAAAAGTGGGCGATTTAGCTTACCCCCTCCAAAAGATTGACATATTGTTTACTTACCAAATTGGTCGCATTGTTTATGTTTTTACCTGTCACAACAAACATGTAGATCTTATAGAACTGAACATATGTATTATGTGCCTTGAATGTGGCAACCTGGACAAATAATGACTCGAGACCTCTGGTGCGAATTTCTGACCTTTCTGATCTTTCCGACTTCTTTATGGTGCTGACATCGAAGAAGCTATTTTTTTTTTTATCTTATCGCAGGGTTTTTTTTCTTATCTTAGATATACTATATATATAGATTAGAGTAGAGACTAGTTTAGATAGTAGTATGTAATTTTTACAGAGCCCGACACAGGCTTATAATTGTGCTCGTCCGGTGCAGGTGAAAAATCCTGTATTTAGTTTAGTTTTTTTTTCATTTTTCCCTTACTTCATTCTTTTCTTGTTTGTATTTCTTTATCGTATTTCCCTATACCTCTGTGTTTTTTAAAAATTTTTTTCTTTTTCTTTCACTTCCCTACGAGAAGATGTCATCAGATTGGCAATATCCTATTGTAGAGTGGTGGTCGGACGAGCCCTCCAGTTAGGGTATATTTTATATATCTCGCCGGTGCAGCAGGTCGCCTATGGGCACTCGAAGGCGTAGTAGCCGTAGGATGTCAAGACTTAAGTTTTATTGTATAAGCATTTTTCATGAGATGATGTCTTTAATAAACAGTGTTACTGGCGCGATCTTGCCTAAGTGAAAAAAAAAAAAAAAAAAAAAATGCCACCTCCACTTTTGTTAATGCCACCCCCCTATATAACTCTAACTGGTCTAAATCTTGAAAATTCTACAAATAGTATTTAGAAACAGTGTGAATTCATGTGATTAATTAAGTTAGCAATTTAGGGTAAGCATTGTTCGTAGAGTTCTAGAAAGGTTAAAAACCAATTAGAGCTATGTAGGGGGTGGCATTAACAAGTTTCTATAATAATACTAATAATATAACTAATAATAATTAATAATAAACTTAATAATAAAACTAATCATATAAAACTCTTTCCGACAATCCTCTGGACAACAACAACAAAAAACTGAACTACAGAAAAACGATTTAGGAACATCCAAGACAAAAACTTCTCAGTCCTACCTTAGAGTAAAGCAGTTGTCGACAAAGTCTGAAGACGTAAAACACCGAGGAGCGGCGCCTTTTGGACGGTTTTTCTTGGGGTCAAACCTTTCCCTTTTTGTGTGGACTCTCTAAGTTATTCAGCATTTAAATCAGAAGCATATTCTGGAAACTGTTTTTACCTTTGCGCAGGTTGTTGTTAACGAAGTTCAAGAGACGTTATACACCGAGGAGCGGGCGTAACTTGGACGGTTTTTCTTGGGATCAAGTTTTTTTTGCTAATTTATCGAACGGACTCCCTAAGTTATTTGGCATCCAAACCAGAAGGTCTATTCTGGGAACAAGT